TTTGTGCAGAGAAAGGTGTTATGATCGACAAAACCTGCAGTAATGAAGAACTGAACGAGTTTTTGTGTAGATTTTACGTAGAATTAAATCTTCTATCCTTTCATGCAGTCATTTATCCTAACTCGCACAATTCAGGAAATTTCTTAAATAGAGAGTCAGGTAATAAATCATTTGTTTCATTGGTACTGGGGGAACAGTCAAATTCTTGACCCTCGTTAGCAGGGAAGACCTAGGGACCTAGGACTTCGGTCTTGGGCAACAGTTCCCTAGGTCTTCCCTGCAAACTCGGGTCAATGGTTTGACTGTTCCCCCAGTACCAATGAAACAATTGTATACTACTTAATTCTAATTCGTGAAGGTATACGCGCAAGTCCCGATATTCCCTGTCTCTGAGATCAGCCCCAGGTCATCCGGAAGAGCTGGCTGATGCCGCAGTGATAAAGTCTTGGCAAACGGTAAAGAAAGTCTACTAGCATCTCAACAACACGATTTGTTTCTTAAGGAAATGTATTAGATTGTTTCGAAAGTAACTTCATTGAAACAGCAATGTCAGAAAATTACACCGTGGGATATGTTCCGTTTTCGTAAATTAGTTTAATGAAAGTTAATAGCTGTAGCAGGAAAAGGCTACGGATACAACTGTTAATGTTAAAAGGGAATGATTAGTTTGTTCGTGAAAAAGATTTAACTTCGAAATGGCATTCCAAAATAAGAATGACAAATGCTATTTCTAAAAAATAGACAAGGCGGCACTTGAATTTTGTTGAGATTAAGATGAACATGTGGTAGCAAAGTCGTTTGTATACATTTTCACAGCACACTCATCTTAACGAATAAAAACACACTCCATAGAGACTTCACAGCAACGATCGGTATTTCTTTACAATACAACGCGCCGATCGTTAATCTTGATGGAAGCGATGGGACTTTTGCAGCCGCAATGAATTTGGGGATCACATCATGATAACATGGATCGGAAGTCATCTGTTTCCTAATACATAAAGACTTCGCACATGTCGCGAGTGGCTGATACTCGAGATAATTAAAAATAAGAAATATACAATGTCTTCCAGTGGCTTAAGGTACCATGTTCTGTTCCAATAGACCACGGCGTGAGTTCCAATACGGTTACCATAGATCACCATTTCCATGTTAGGCTGGTGGTCATAATTTATAGCCAGGACTCTGTAGGTGTGCCGTCTACCGTTCCTACATACAGCTAGGGTACATTGTGCCGCTAAAACCCTAACCCTAACCCTAACCCTAATCTTATCAAGCAAGACCGCATTGAGGTGCTTAACTTTCCCATAGGGGAGCCTGAAGTTGGTTCCTAGTTCCTACAATGTAGTGACGTTTAAGAAAAACGGAGTCGGGAATCATATCATTTTTCCGTTAAAAACTGAAATAACAATATCAATGGAACTTGGTCCAAAATGCTAAGACTGTTTCAGTAAAACATCATAACCAGCCTGTTATAATCAAATGGGAACTCCAGAACTAGACCCCAGTACTGTATAGCGAACGTATACGACTTTGGAATTCTTTCCCTGGCTACTTCGCAAAACGCAAAATCGAAGGCGCATAGTTATATCTGAATCCAGTACAAGTCGAAACCCACAACCTTTCAGACAAAAATTAAGACTACCATATCCTCTATAAAGGAATTGGTCCCACAGGAACTGAAATCCAAACTCTAGTTATGCTTTCTCTTAAATGGAACTAGGGTCTGGTTCCCAGCTCGGTTTATCTTAACCATAGAGCCACTGAGTCATCAATGTTTTGTGGCGTTAAGAGTTTTCAAACATACCACAACATTAATTGTTTATTCAGTTGTTCCCAAAAAATGATACACTGTATGAATATCTTGAATATATTTTGATATTATGCGTTACCATATTGTCTGGACATGTTGTGAAGTTAAGCGTAATCACAAATCGCACAGGCCAATATACCACAAGAGCGCGGAGCATTAACCCTGTGTAAAAGGAAAGAGCGTGCTCCCTAGAATTAATATATAAGGACGGAGAATGAACCATCAAACCAACACAGATACATGTAACGTAGTTTAAGGTCCCTATACAACAAGTAATATTCCTATCTTCTATAGTAGGATAGAGCGTGGACTCCGTGGCTTCTACAGTAGGATAGAGCGTGGACTCCGTGGCTACTATAGTAGGATAGAGCGTGGACTCCGTGGCTACTTCAGTAGACCAGAGTGTGGACACCGTGTCTTCTTCAGTCCGACGACGTCTGGACTCCATGACTACTAAAGAAGGACAGAGAGTGGAGTCCGTGGCTACTACAGTAGGACAGAGAGTGGAGTCCGTGGCTATTAAAGTAGGGCAGAGTGTGTACTCCGTGGTTACTATAGTAGGGCAGAGTGTGGACTCCATGGTTACTACAGTAGGGCAGAGTGTGTACTCCGTGGTTACTATAGTAGGGCAGAGTGTGTACTCCGTGGTTACTATAGTAGGACAGAGAGTGGACTCCGTGGCTACTACAGTAGGACACAGTGTGGACTCCGTGACTACTACAGTAGGATAGAGCATGGACTCCGTGGCTACTACAGTAGGATAGAGCGTGGACTTCGTGGCTACTTCAGTAGAGCAGAGTGTGGACACCGTGGCTACTAAAGTAGGGCAGAGTGTGTACTCCGTGGTTACTATAGTAGGGCAGAGTGTGGACTCTATGGTTACTACAGTAGGTCAGAGTGTGGACTCCGTGGCTACTATAGTAGGACAGAGAGTGGACTCCGTGGTTACTACAGTAGGACAGAGTGTGGACACCGTGTCTTCTTCAGTCCGACGACGTCTGGACTCCATGACTACTAAAGTAGGACAAAGTGTGTACTCCATGGCTACCACAGAAGGACAGAGAGTGGACTCCGTGGCTACTAAAGTAGGGCAGAGTGTGTACTCCGTGCTTACTATAGTAGGGCAACATGTGTACTCCGCGGCTACTATTGTAGGGGAGAGTGTGGACTCCGTGACTACTACAGTAGGATAGAGCATGGACTCCGTGGCTACTATAGTAGGACAGAGAGTGGACTCCGTGGCTACTAAAGTAGGGCAGAGTGTGGACTCCATGGTTACTACAGTAGGACAGAGTGTGGACACCGTGGCTACTACAGTAGGACAGAGTGTGGACTCCGTGGCTACTTAAGAAGGACATATCGTGGACTCCTAGGCTATTACAGTAGGACAGTGCGTGGACTCCATGGCTACTTCAGTAGAGCAGAGTGTGGACTCCATGACAACTGCAGTAGAATAGAGCGTGGACTCCGTGGCTACTTCAGTAAAGGAGAATGTGGACTCCGTGGCTAGAACAGTAGGGCAGAATGTGGACTCCGTGGCTACTTCAGTCGGATACAGTGTGTACTCAGTGGCTACTACAGTAGGACAGAGTGTGGACTCTGTGGCTACTTCAGTCGGTTAGAGTGTGTACTCCGTGGCTAGAACAGTAGGACAGAGTGTAGACTCCATGACTATTTCAGAAGGACAGAGTGTGGACTCCGTGGCTACTACAGTAGGACAGAGTGTGGACTCCGCGGCTACTATAGTAGGGCAGAGTGTGGACTCCATAGTTTCTACAGTAGGACAGAGTGTGGACTCCATGGCTACTTTAGTAGGACAGAGCGTAAATGCCGTGGCTACTACAGTTCGAAAGAGTGTGGACTACGTGGCTTCTACAGTAGGACAGAGTGTGATCTCCGTGGCTACTACAGTAGGACAGAGTGTGGATTACGAGGCTACTATAGTAGGAGAAAGTGTGGACTCCGTGGCTATTAACGTAGGACCGAGTGTAGAATCCATGACTATTTCAGAAGGACAGAGTGTGGACTCCGTGGCTACTACAGTAAGACAGAGTGTGGACTCCGTGGCTACTACAGTAGGACAGAGTGGGGACTCCGTGGCTACTACAGTAGGACAGTGCGTGGACTCCGTGGCTACTTCAGTAGAGCAGAGGGTGGACTCCATGGCTACTGCATTAGGATAGAGCGTCGTAAGACAGAGTGTAGACTCCATGACTATTTCAGAAGGACAGAGTGTGGACTACGTGGCTACTACAGTAAGACAGAGTGTAGACTCCATGACTAGTTCAGAAGGACAGAGTGTGGACTCCGTGGCTACTACAGTAGGACAGAGCGTGGACTCCGTGGCTACTTCAGTAGAGCAGAGTGTGGACTCCATGGCTACTGCATTAGGATAGAGACTCCTAGGCTATTACAGTAGGACAGAGTGTGGACTCCGTGGCTACTTAAGAAGGACATATCGTGGACTCCTAGGCTATTACAGTAGGACAGAGTGTGGACTCCGTGGCTACTTAAGAAGGACATATCGTGGACTCCTAGGCTATTACAGTAGGACAGAGTGTGGACTCCGTGGCTACTTCAGTAGGACAGAGTGTGGACTCCGTGGCTACTTCAGTCGGATAGAGTGTGGACTCCGTGGCTAGAACAGTAGGACAGAGTGTGGACTCCGTGGCTACTACAGTAGGACAGTGCGTGGACTCCGTGGCTACTTCAGTAGAGCAGAGTGTGGACTCCATGGCTACTGCATTAGGATAGAGCGTCGACTTCGTGGCTACTTCAGCAGCGCAGAATGTGGCTAGAACAGTAGGGCAGAATGTGGACTTTTTTGTCTTTTTCAGTCGGACAGAGTGTGGACTCTGTGGCTAGAACAGTAGGACAGAGTGTGGACTCCGAGGCTACTACAGTAGGACAGAGTGTGGACTCCGTGGCTACTTCAGTAGAGAAGAGGGTGGACTCCATGACAACTGCAGTAGAATAGAGCGTGGACTCCGTGACTACTTCAGTAGAGGAGAATGTGGACTCAGTGACTAGAACAGTAGGGCAGAATGTGGACTCCGTGGCTACTTCAGTCGGATACAGTGTGTACTCAGTGGCTACAACAGTAGGACATAGTGTGGACTCCGTGGCTACTTCAGTCGGTAAGAGGGTGTACTCCGTGGCTAGAACAGAAGGACAGAGTGTAGATTCCATGACTATTTCAGAAGGACAGAGTGTGGACTCCGTGGCAACTAAAGTAGGGCAGAGTGTGGACTCCATGGCTACTTCAGTCGGATACAGTGTGTCCTCAGTGGCTACAACAGTAGGACAGAGTATGGACTCCGTGGCTACTTCAGTCGGTAAGAGGGTGTACTCCGTGGCTAGAACAGAAGGACAGAGTGTAGATTCCATGACTATTTCAGAAGGACAGAGTGTGGACTCCGTGGCTACTCAAGAAGGACATATCGTGGACTCCTTGGCTATTAAAGTAGGACAGAGTGTGGACTCCGTGGCAACTAAAGTAGGACAGAGTGTGGACTCCATGGCTACTTCAGTCGGATACAGTGTGTACTCAGTGGCTACAACAGGAGGACAGAGTGTGGACTCCGTGGCTACTTCAGTCGGTAAGAGTGTGTACTCCGTGGCTAGAACAGTAGGACAGAGTATAGACTCCATGACTATTTCAGAAGGACAGAGTGTGGACTCCGTGGCTACTATAGTAAGACAGAGTGTAGACTCCATGACTATTTCAGAAGGACAGAGTGTGGACTCCGTGGCTACTACAGTAGGACAGAGTATGGACTCCGTGGCTACTACAGTAGGACAGAGTGTGGACTCCGTGGCTACTCAAGAAGGACATATCGTGGACTCCTTGGCTATTACAGTAGGACACAGTGTGGACTCCGTGGCAACTAAAGTAGGACAGTGCGTGGACTCCATGGCTACTTCAGTAGAGCAGAGTGTGGACTCCATGGCTACTGCATTAGGATAGAGCGTCGAATTCGTGGCTACTTCAGCAGCGCAGAATGTGGCTAGAACAGTAGGGCAGAATGTGGTCTTTTTTGTCTACTTCAGTCGGACACAGTGTGGACTCTGTGGCTAGAACAGTAGGACAGAGTGTGGACTCCGTGGCTACTACAGTAAGACAGAGTGTAGACTCCATGACTATTTCAGAAGGACAGGGTGTGGACTCCGTGGCTACTACAGTAGGACAGATGCTGGACTCCGTGGCTACTTCAGTAGAGAAGAGTGTGGACTCCATGACAACTGCAGTAGAATAGAGCGTGGACTCCGTGGCTACTTCAATAGAGGAGAATGTTGACTCCGTGGCTAGAACAGTAGGGCAGAGTGTGGACCCCGTGGCTACTTCAGTCGGTTAGAGTGTGTACTCCGTGGCTAGAACATTAGGACAGAGTATAGACTCCATGACTATTTCAGAAGGACAGAGTGTGGACTCCGTGGCTACTTCAGTCGGATAGAGTGTGGACTCCGTGGCTAGAACAGTAGGACAGAGTGTGGACTCCGTGGCTACTCAAGAAGGACATATCGTGGACTCCTTGGCTATTACAGTAGGACAGAGTGTGGACTCCGTGGCAACTAAAGTAGGACAGTGCGTGGACTCCATGGCTACTTCAGTCGGACAGAGTGTGGACTCCATGGCTACTGCATTAGGATAGAGCGTCGAATTCGTGGCTACTTCAGCAGCGCAGAATGTGGCTAGAACAGTAGGGCAGAATGTGGTCTTTTTTGTCTATTTCAGTCGGACAAAGTGTGGACTCTGTGGCTAGAACAGTAGGACAGAGTGTGGACTCCGTGGCTACTCAAGAAGGACATATCGTGGACTCCTTGGCTATTACAGTAGGACAGAGTGTGGACTCCGTGGCAACTAAAGTAGGACAGTGCGTGGACTCCATGGCTACTTCAGTAGGATAGAGCGTCGACTTCGGGGCTACTTCAGCAGCGCAGAATGTGGACTCCGTGGCCTAGAACAGTAGGCCATGACTATTTCAGAAGGACAGAGTGTGGACTCCATGGCTATTTAAGAAGGACATATCGTGGACTCAGTGACTATTACAGTAGGACAGAGCGTGGACTCCGTGGCTACTAAAGTAGGACAGTGCGTGGACTCCATGGCTACTTCAGTAGGATAGAGCATCGACTTCGTGGCTAATTCAGCAGCGAAGAATGTGGACTCCGTGGCCTAGAACAGTAGGCCATGACTATTTCAGAAGGACAGAGTGTGGACTCCATGGCTATTTAAGAAGGACATATCGTGGACTCAGTGACTATTACAGTAGGACAGAGCGTGGACTCCGTGGCTACTAAAGTAGGACAGTGCGTGGACTCCATGGCTACTTCAGTCGGACAGAGTGTGGACTCCATGGCTACTCAGAGTGTAGACTCCATGACTATTTCAGAAGGACAGAGTGTGGACTCCATGGCTATTTAAGAAGGACATATCGTGGACTCAGTGGCTATTACAGTAGGACAGAGTGTGGACTCCGTGGCTACTAAAGTAGGACAGTGCGTGGACTCCATGGCTACTTCAGTAGGATAGAGCGTCGACTTCGTGGCTACTTCAGCAGCGCAGAATGTGGACTCCGTGGCCTAGAACAGTAGGGCAGAATGTGGAATTTTTTGTCTACTTCAGTCGGACAGAGTGTGGACTCTGTGGCTAGAACAGTAGGATAGAGTGTGGACTCCATGGCTACTTCAGTCGGTTAGAGTGTGGTCTCCGTGGCCACTACATTAGGACAGAGCGTGGACTCCGTGGCTACTAGAGTGGGATAGAGCGTGGACTCAGTGGCTTCTCCAGTAGAGCAGAATGTGGACTCCGTGGCAAGAACAGTAGGGCAGAATGTCGATTCCGTGGCTTCTTCAGTCGGACAGGGTGTGGACTCCTTGGCTACTTCAGTAGGGCAGAGTGTTAACTCAGGGACTAGTACAGTAGGACAGAGTGTGGTCTCCGTGGCTACTACAGTAGGACAGAGCGTGGACTCCGTGGCTTCTACAGTAGGACAGAGTATGGACTCCGTGGCTACTTCAGCGGGATAAAGAGTGGACTTGGCCATTTCGCCAGTTTGACAGAGTTTTGACTCTAAGAGCAATATATGGAAGGAGTTTTGACACCGAAACCATTACACTTGGACGGAACGAAAAACCCCAATCCATCGCAATGGACGGAGTGTAGGCCCCGTTGCTACCGAGTTGTATTGGATCGCGAGACAGGATTTGGTTCTAAAGGTGGAATAACATTGATTTTTACTTCTACGTCGTGACATGATAGATGACTCGAGCCTAATATCCAATTTTAACGATATCGACTAACAACAAGTTTGATGAAAGCCAGATCCACCAGCTGACCAAGAAGTCTTATAGATTATTGAGATATATATTGTCCAAGTTAAAGTCTATTCAATCGGTGATAAAGACGAGCGCAAATGAGGTGCATCAAACATCGAATACTTAAAAAAACGAATAGAATTCATTCATCCATTCATTCGTTAATTTCTTCCACTGCACCTGTCCATTTTACTGTATCCAGTATAAACAGATACATAGCGATCTCATCAATGAATCATAATGATGCTTTAAATCTCATCAATGAATCATAATGATGCTTTACATCTCATCAATGAATCATAATGATGCTTTACATCTCATCAATGAATCATAATGATGCTTTACATCTCATCAATAAATCATAATGATGCTTTACATCTCATCAATGAATCATAATGATGCTTTACATCTCATCAATGAATCATAATGATGCTTTAAATCTCATGTTTGCTTCGATAAAGTATAAACAGGGTCAGTCCCTATTAGCACTGATGACGTGGCGCTGTATTAGAATACGAACATGTTTACACATTTGTAGAGAACCTATCACATGACTAAACGACGGAATTTTAAATCAGAAGTTTCATGTAAAATGTGTTTCTTAATGTTTTTTGAGTTAAATGCTATCATTAAGTGATGTCGCTACTTTGATTTTAAAAAATCATCAAAACGTACTGACGTGTTATCATTATTTATTAACTCATACGAGATTATATGTTATGGTATCAAAACGATATTACACATAATGTGATATTACAGATTCAAAACTTGGTACGTAAACAAAATTGAAAATAATCCATTTCTTTACGATTAGTTTTATTTTGGTTTGTGAACAAATGAGATAAACAGTTTCACCGTCGCTCATTGATTAAAGCCAATACACAAAATGTAATTAGTCGCCATACAATCCAGCTGATATTCGAAGCTTACAGATATTCTACGATTTCAAACGATGGAACAAATATCAGATAACCAGACGGAGGAACTATTTTAATTAAATCGTGTATGTAAAAACGCCTAGAAACATTTGTGAAATCGTCTTAGATATTATATAACTGCGTTATTGCCGAAGGGACAAAACAAACCACAGCGTTATCGCAAAGGGACAAAACAAACCACAGCGTTATCGCAAAGGGACAAAACAAACCACAACATCCCAACAAAGGGACAAAACAAACCACAGCGTTATCGCAAAGGGACAAAACAAACCACAGCGTTATCGCAAAGGGACAAAACAAACCACAGCGTTATCGCAAAGGGACAAAACAAACCACAGCGTTATCGCAAAGGGACAAAACAAACCACAGCGTTATCGCAAAGGGACAAAACAAACCACAGCGTTATCGCAAAGGGACAAAACAAACCACAGCGTTATCGCAAAGGGACAAAACAAACCACAGCGTTATCGCAAAGGGACAAAACAAACCACAGCGTTATCGCAAAGGGACAAAACAAACCACAGCGTTATCGCAAAGGGACAAAACAAACCACAGCGTTATCGCAAAGGGACAAAACAAACCACAGCGTTATCGCAAAGGGACAAAACAAACCACAGCGTTATCGCAAAGGGACAAAACAAACCACAGCGTTATCGCAAAGGGACAAAACAAACCACAGCGTTATCGCAAAGGGACAAAACAAACCACAGCGTTATCGCAAAGGGACAAAACAAACCACAGCGTTATCGCAAAGGGACAAAACAAACCACAGCGTTATCGCAAAGGGACAAAACAAACCACAGCGTTATCGCAAAGGGACAAAACAAACCACAGCGTTATCGCAAAGGGACAAAACAAACCACAGCGTTATCGCAAAGGGACAAAACAAACCACAGCGTTATCGCAAAGGGACAAAACAAACCACAGCGTTATCGCAAAGGGACAAAACAAACCACAGCGTTATCGCAAAGGGACAAAACAAACCACAGCGTTATCGCAAAGGGACAAAACAAACCACAGCGTTATCGCAAAGGGACAAAACAAACCACAGCGTTATCGCAAAGGGACAAAACAAACCACAGCGTTATCGCAAAGGGACAAAACAAACCACAGCGTTATCGCAAAGGGACAAAACAAACCACAGCGTTATCGCAAAGGGACAAAACAAACCACAGCGTTATCGCAAAGGGACAAAACAAACCACAGCGTTATCGCAAAGGGACAAAACAAACCACAGCGTTATCGCAAAGGGACAAAACAAACCACAGCGTTATCGCAAAGGGACAAAACAAACCACAGCGTTATCGCAAAGGGACAAAACAAACCACAGCGTTATCGCAAAGGGACAAAACAAACCACAGCGTTATCGCAAAGGGACAAAACAAACCACAGCGTTATCGCAAAGGGACAAAACAAACCACAGCGTTATCGCAAAGGGACAAAACAAACCACAGCGTTATCGCAAAGGGACAAAACAAACCACAGCGTTATCGCAAAGGGACAAAACAAACCACAGCGTTATCGCAAAGGGACAAAACAAACCACAGCGTTATCGCAAAGGGACAAAACAAACCACAGCGTTATCGCAAAGGGACAAAACAAACCACAGCGTTATCGCAAAGGGACAAAACAAACCACAGCGTTATCGCAAAGGGACAAAACAAACCACAGCGTTATCGCAAAGGGACAAAACAAACCACAGCGTTATCGC